TCCGCCGGCATGAACGTTCCCATACATTGCTATGGGGACCGTTCATGCAACCGATCCGAAACACCCCTGAATGGCTCCCTGCACTATTTTTGCCACGTGATCAGTGCGGTTTCCATACAGGTTTCAATGGAACCGCATTAATCAGCGCGGTTTGAGGTGTTTTTAATTGCGTTTCAGCGCTGAAACACAATTGAAAACTCCCAAAACCTCCCTTTTGAGAAAAGCACGATAACCGTGCTGATCCGCAACCGCCCTGATGTGAATGGGCTCTTAATTGGACAGGAAGTGAGGGGTTATTCCCCAACAGGGGCACAGTGGCCAGTGAAACTAATCGAGGGGCTCTAACCCTTCCCTTCTCTATCCAAAGCTTTGGATAGTCTGGCAGAGCCTGGAATCCCAAGCAGTGTTATCAGCCCTGCCTGAGTTCTCACTTCTGGACTACAGAATATCTTGCCCATATTATAGAGATAGGGAAAGTGTTTTGTAGTCGAGATGAGAAAAGCAGGAAGCGTTTTGTATTCTATATAGGAGGACTCAGGCACGGCTGGCAACACTGATAGGATTTCAGTGTATTGCAGGCAGAGTTGTCAGATCACTACAGGAAGTTAGATCTCACTGGATTTGTTATTTTTCTTACTTGCAGTGTTTTAAAGAAACAATACATGTCGGCAATGAGCTTGTAACGCAGAGATGTAAAGCATATTTTATATATTTTTGCCCAGACATAAATTTCAGCGTTTGCCTAAAATAAAAAAAAAATGATACTTGAAAAATAATAAAAGATGCAACAGTTGACTTTGTTCTATAATTAGGATAATTAGACTCAGTCTGGTCTATTTGATAAGGCCGGGGAAAAGCTGTAACTTAGAGCGGCCGCCCGCTGCCCTTTATCAAATTAGCAGAACAAAGAAACATGATTATGATTGGTCGGTGTGTGGTATCACGCTCGGCACATTCTTCTCCTCCTTATGACATAATCCTATTAGTTTTAATAATGTGATCTAGACACCAAGCTCTTCCATTGTGTTGAAATATCAATACTGAACATTTCCTTACCATAAGAACAGTTTCCGCACTGTTGGCGGAATTTGAAATGTGTTTACTTTTGGAACATTCTGTACAAACTTTTTGTCTGCGATCTGCTTTGCTTACGTTGCACCTGTCACCGTGTATTACCATTTTCTGATGCATCAGTACACAAACAATGCTACACTATACAATGCGTAGGAATAATTATATCCCTTTAGTTTTTGTTAATCCTGTTATTTTTTTCTACATGGAGGATATTTAATACTTGTTTTTGGGGTCGTTCACTGCAAATAAAAGGGGAAAAGGACAGATTTGACAAGCATACTAGCAATGTACTGCCGCTGGCTAAAAAGGGGACCTATCAGTACAGAAATCTGGTAGTTTTTAATGGAGAAATATGGTATAGGTGGAATGCACTCATCCCCATAGTTAAAGCTGACGTGTGACATTGCAGCTGTCACGTGTGGGCTCTATAAATCGAGAAATGAGCGATCACATACCGCTGATCACTCACTTCATGATCTTCTTCCTGCAGAGAGCAGTGAATGTCAGTCACCGCTCCATGCAGGGATTCCCCTCTCCCCTCTTTGTTCCTCCAGCGCTGACTGGAGAGACAGACAGGGGAGGGGGCAGGCACAGCTGGCTCTGCCTTTAGAAAGGAAAGTGAGAGCCGGCAGCTACCCGCAGCCACTGCTTGCTGCGATTGGTCACAGTTATCATGTGGTACAAAACCACTCCCATAAGGTTAGCACTGTACCCCCTTTTTGTGCGCTGTACTCTGCTTGTGCGCATGCTAGAGGGTGCACACAAGCACACAAAAAAGGAAGCTGGAGAAGAAGTTTTAAAAGGTCCTCCATCCCTGTTAAGGCTGCCCTCCGCCCATTTATACAAAATTAACAGTTGGCAAGTACATAGAGATGTATTAATGAATTAAAGACACACTAACCTCCGGAGTTAAATCTTACAAATGTATTCAAGTGCTCTATTACCAAAAATGTATCTTATTTGTGTATCACTCAGCTGTAGATCTTCAAATCATCTCTGAATTGGGGCAGACACTGTCCTTCCTTCTGGTGGGTGACTACTTTTGTTCCCCATGGTCCCTGTGTGTGTTGTAAAGTAGTCACCACTCCAAGCTTGCTCCTGTGATGGACTACAATCTCATGTTTAGTTTACTAATTTGTATTGAAGTGATAGTCTTTCACAGGAGTGAGCTTTGAGTGGTGGCTACCTTACAACACACATGGGGCCCATGCGGAAAAAAAGTAGCCACACTCCAGAAGGAAGGACAGTGTCGGCACTAATTCAGAGATGATTTGAGGATCTACACCCGAGTGATACACAAATAAGATAAATTTTTGGTAATAGTTAAGATACTCATTTTTAAGATTTAAATACAGAGTTTAGTGTCACTTTAAAAATAAGTGGAAACTGTTCCAATGCTTCAAGTACCTTAACTATTAACAAAAATGTATCTTATTTGTGTATCACTCGGGTGTAGATCCTCAAATCATCTCTTAATTGGTGCTGACACTGTCCTTCCTTCTGGAGGGTGGCTACTTTTGTTCCCCATGGTCCCTGTGTGTGTTGTAAAGTAGCCACCGATCCAAGCTCGCCTCCAGGATGGACTACAATCTCAATACAAATGAGTAAACTAAACTTGAGCTTGTAGTGCATCACAGCAGCGAGCTTGGAGCGGTGGATACTTTACACCACACACAGGGGGCCATGGGGAACAAAAGTAGCCACCCTCCAGAAGGAAGGACAGTGTCAGCACCAATTAAGAGATGATTTGAGGATCTACAGCCCAGTGATACACAAATAAGATACATTTTTGTTAATAGTTAGGTACCTTAATCCATTTTTAAGATTTAATTACGAAGTTTAATGTGACTTTAACTTTGCGTTTTATCTCTACCTGTAGTTCAACTTTAAAGATTCCCTCTGAAGTTATGTATTGGACAAAGCACAAACAATCGGATTTCCAGGATTCCTTGAAGGAGTTCACTGACCACAGAAGTGGTTGAAGGATGAAACCCCATTTAATAGTCCTAATGATGGGTATGACTCTCAGAAGACAGCTTAAAAACAAATATGAATCTGAAAATAACAGCTATAAATCACCTCAAATCCGGCAGTTGGGTAGATAGTTGGGAACGTATACTTACTAGGAGTTCGTGTGGTGATTAATGTGAAGACGCACTACGCTATTCCCTTTAATCTGGCAGGAACATACACTTAGAGAATTTTACGAGTATGCTTTGAGGAATAATTTTGTGCTCTGTTTTGCTGACATATTTTGATAGCTTTGTGACAGCAAATTAATGTTCTTTTTAAACAGGGTGATTACACGCTAAAAGTACTAATGTTTGGAGAAACCTTGAAAGGTTTCACAGATCATTTCTCTCTCTCTCTCTTTCCTTCTTTTAAATTACACTACAAAAGGCAGAACGCTTATGAAATCTAGACACACATTTGCCTCTGGGATAAAAAAAAGAAAGGAGGAGGACGTGTTCTACTGTGCTATGACGAGAACAAAATTAACTGACATTATAGAGGGAAGACATTTTTGTACGCTCGGTGTTGAGGGCCAAATGACAGGTGGGTTTAAAAAAAAAAAAGAAGTGACTTAAAGAGAATATATTACCAAATTTTAGGACTTCTTAAAGAAGGGAGTTGGTTAAAAAAACACTTTGATAAGCTGAATCTGCCAGGCATTTAATGTTATCTGGGCATACATCTTGAAAAAGGAATGCCAGGTAAAGTTTAGAATAAAGCTAATGCAATGCAGGGAGCATGAAAAGTGTCAGTCCGCTCAGCTGAACTCCAGGCATGCAGCTGAATTTATAGTTGAAATATGTAAGCGAGGCGATTTAAATGGCAAAGATTTGTAATTCTGTTCATCCAGACATCAGACGCCACAGCACCAGCCAGACAGTATGGTCTGTTTGTGGACCTTGTTTTTCTCCGCTGCAGTTGTGAAATGCAGTTTGGCCAAAGGCTTACTCCATGACTGACTGGACAATGGTGGAACACTGATGAGGTCATCACTCTGCTCTTTCCATCCGTCAGCATGTTCCTAGCACGTACATAAGAAAAGCTGGTCACTCACCGGGTTCCGCTGGAATAGTTTAATGAAGCTTGTACCACATCACTGGTCTCCCGTCCAAGGTCCATCCCCGCTGAAGCATTTCACCCAATTACGGGCTTAGTCGTAGAGATCTTTAGAGAAGATGTCAGACAGGGCGGACCTTGGGCAGGACACCAGTGATGTGGTACAAGCTTCAATAAACTATTGCCGGTGGAATAGTTTATTGACGCTTGTACCACATCACTGGTGTCCCGCCCAAGGTCCACCCCTGCTGAAGCATTTCACCCAATCACAGGCTTAGTCGTAGAGATTTCTAGAGAAGTTGTCAAAGGGGGTGGACTTGGTGATGTGGTACAAGCTTCAATAAACCATTGCAGCAGAATCCAGTGGAATAGTTTATTGAAGCTTGTACCACATCACCAGTGTCCTGCCCAAGGTCCGCCCCCTCTGACATGTTCTCTAGAAATCTCTATGACTAAGCCCGTGATTGGATGAAATGCTTCAGCGGGGGTGAACCTTGGGACTCTGACATGTTCTCTAGAAATCTCTATGACTAAGCCCATGATTGGGTAAAATGCTTCAGCGGGGGTGAACCTTGGGCAGAAGCATTTTACCCAATCACGGACTTAGTCGTAGAGATTTCTAGAGAAGATGTCAGAGGGGGCAGACCTTGGGCAGGACACCAGTGATGTGGTACAAGCTTCAATAAACTATTCCAGCAGAATCCGGTGTACGGCCAGATTTTCTTCTGTGTATATGTGCTCTTACTGGAGCAAGGACATGCTCACAGCAGCAAGTGCCCAGCAATCCAAGCAAAAGGCTTTGCCACAACTTTTTTGTGTTTTGACCAGTAAAAATAACTTCACCATCAATTATTTACCTTCAAGTCTGACGATGAGTGGCACCTTAAGTTCAAGCTCGCGGCAAGCCTTTGTTATCCCGTTGGCTACAATTGCGCAGTTTACTATTCCTCCAAAAATGTTAATGAGAATGGCTTCAACCTGAAAGACAAAAAGAAAGCGTTTGTGTCAATATTTCACACGTCCATTCTGCTAAATTAGAGATGATTAAAAACAGGTCTAAAAACTGGTGTCAGGGCTAAAAACTAATGAATGGCAAAGAACAAAATGGTGGCAACAGGTCAAGCTAGCTCAAAGAGGTAATCCAATCTAAACAAAGGCTTTCTATGGCTTCTAATAGTGGAGCTCTAAATATAACCTATAAACTGTTTTGCCTCTGTTTCTGAAGCTGGAACTACTGCTAATATGGGATTATAAAAAAAAGTATTTGTTGCCTGAATTTGCCATCCACTGCATCACCATGCAAGATAATAGATCTTGAAGCTGAAAAGTGAGGAGTGAGCAAGCGACCCTGACATGCCTAGCTATGCCATGCTCAGGAGAAGAAAGTTCTAACTTTCTTCTAAAGTGGACCTTAACTTACCTGATTGAGCACATCCAAAAATAAAGTGATAATGGGTTTTTAGGTACCGTTTATGTCCGACCTCATGTGTAGAGTTCATAAAAATTCATATTTATTTATAGAAAATGTAAAATCTGTTCACATATGTATAACTTCATAAAACCAAACTATTCATTTTCATCCACGAGACATTTCCTATGTATATATCCAGAATATTACATCACAGAGCAAAATTACATTAGGACAACATATAACACATTGTATCCTTCAGTTATTTTATGGCCAGTGTTGCCTCTTTTTAGCCCCCTTAAGGTTTGAAGCATTTCACAATTGGTCTTCTTCAGGAACCTCAGGTGAGAATTTTTGGTGTGTGGACTACTACAATAGTCCGAGGTACAACCAGGGAGAAAACACTCCACGTACCTGGAGGGGGCCACCTGGGGGGGACCAACACAGAGCCAGATATATACACTGCAAACTATTCATAAGTGTATATCATATACCTAAAGATAGGGGATCACAACAAGCAGTTCACATCTCAAGAATCATAACTGTGAAACAGTATGAAGGTGCCCTAATTGATAATACACTACCCAATTAAACTGGGTACAATTACTGGCATCCAGAATATTAATATAACACGCAGAAGATGCCCAAATCATCGTGCAAACAGTGCCATTAAATTCAATGCACCGCCACGCCCCCGCCCCCGAAAGCAGGGGGAAGCTTTGTGAGTGATTGCTGTGCGTTCCAACAGCTACCGCTCTGGAACGCACCGCATTCGGTGTGAACAAGCCCTAAGGCATTGCTGCCTCTGAACTGCTAGTCTTAGGAGATTTGGTGAAGTCACTAACTAAGCTGCTCACTGTTCTCTTTGTTGGAGGCTCTGACATGAGGAAGCAAAGCCATGCCTCTACCAAGATGGCTCCCTCCACACAGTGACAGTGCAGAACAAGGCATGGTAAGTCAGTACTGGAGAAAAATCAACTGCAGGGAGACCACAGGCAATACTTGTGACTAGTCTTTGGCCTCTGTGTTTTTTTCTGCATAGCTAATAATGATTGTTAGAGCCGCAAGGATCTTAAAAAAAAAATAAAAATGTCCCTTCACAGAAAATGCTGTTTTTCTAAAACTGCTAAAAGGGTTTGTTGTATGCCAAGTTTAGATGCAAACATTGTTTGAAGTATATGCAAACCCAACTAATACAACCTCATAAAATATTTATTGTAATTTTAAAAGTCAGAGCAGTGCCTCATTCCCCTTCATACAGGGTTTCAAGACAGACAGCCAGCCTGAATTCAACTGTATTATCGCTTTAGCTAATCCATAGTGCTCTGAGAAACCTTAGTCTTTCATTTACATATGTTTAATATACAACTATTTATCTACACCTATTTCAGTTTAAAAAGCCAAAGGACATTTTTTAAGCATCATTATTTTTCAAATCTCATTGGACTTCTGAAAAGAACTGGTCTTTTTTTTTTTGAAAAGAAGGATCCATATCCTGGTGATTAAGCTTTGTGAACTGAGCCCATTGTACCCACAAGCAAGATAATACACAGTCGTCATATGCATAGGAATCAAATAGCAGAATTTGTCTCGGAGACGTGAAGCTGGAGATGTGAAAACGATCAAACGGCGAACTAAAATGGTTTCTTTGTGTTTACATGTGATGCAAAGGAAACATTACTGTGGAAAAAAAACCCGCATTTAATCAGCATTTGAGCCGAGCTGTCTCCAACCTCAACTCACATGAAAGTCATTACCTGCTCCCATATCTATTGTCTCTGCACTTCAAAGGATTTTTGACAGAATGAAGCAAGGAGCTTTTTTTTTGCTTTTCAGTCATGAAATGTCTAGAGATGCGCTTGATTAAAGTGTGACTTTTTAGGAAAGGACTGTTCGCGAAAGAACCTGAAGTCAACAGAAAAAACCCCTCTGTGGCAATTTTTCCAGTTTCCGATGTTAACAATAAATGGGACAAAGTTGGTCACACCATAAATATGTTAAAACTGAACTCTAGGCATATATAAAAGACACAAATTAATGCAGCTTCACATTTAATATTACATAAAAATAATGTATTTTTTACACACAAGCAGTGCAAGTATCTGACTTTCACTTGGTATCGGCTTCTCGCAGTCCATGTACATGTAAGGGAACCAAGAAACCAGGCAGAAACTTCAAGTGCAGGTTAGAAAATAAAAGGAGTTCACTGAAAATAAAAAAATTGAGAAAACACAGGATGTCGTCAGTGCCAAGCCAGAGGCCAGATGCAAAAGCGGGTAGTCAGCCGAACCAGGTCAGGGAACACTGAGAGCAGGAGGAATGGAAACAATAGCCGGGAGATCAGTCAGCCAGGGTCATACACGGAGAACAGGAACAATTGCAGAGCACTTGGTAGATCAGAACACATGCAAGGGCGGAGACTGAATGGACAAGCTGCTGGTTAAATAGTAAACTGGTGTTTGAGTAATCACTCTGAGACAGAGGTTTGTTAGTAGTTGCAGAATGATGAGGTTTACGGGTTTGGTCATAAGAAGGCGCGAAAGAGGAATGAACAGACAAATGTCAGAGAAAACTGCAGCTCAACAGGACAAGAAAGGGCAATAAACCGACAGAACAGCAGAGCTAGAGTGTGACAGAAAGAAGCCAATCAGGTCATGTGCTGACGAAGGAGAGAGCAGAGTGGCAGAGAGATGAGATCATCACTGAGCTGCTCCTATTTCCACTGTCCAGTCACAGGCTGGGGGTGAGTCCAGGACAACATGTCCAGGACAACCTGGACTCAGAGGAAATGGGTTGAATGATTCTGGGTATATCTTGTAGCAGAAAAAAGTTCAGCAGGGAAATCTCTGAACACGAATATTACAGGAAAAGCTGGTTTAGTTATTTTATATTTTTTAATGGACTGTTCATTTTTATCTAGCCATTTTGGGCCGGAGTTCTGCTCAAGGACCCAACGCTCACTTAAACCTTTTCTAAAATGTTTTAGGTGGAGTAAAATGGCAGAGTCTTCCAATAGCTCATAACATAGCCATAGCAATAAAATAGGCTGCCCCACTGTCATGCTGCAGAGAAGAACGTCTGCTCTCTACGTGGAAGCAGCAGTCTCTCTGCTCAAGCATTGCTGAGTGGAGAGCTCTAGTTCTAAGGGCCCGTTCACACCAGATGCAGTGCATGGCAGCCTGATTCTGGCCAAAACGTATTGCCTCGCATTGCGGCTGGCTCACTTTTTTGTGGGGCAGGAGGGGGCGTGGCGGGCCATTGAAGTGAATGGCACGGAGCCACGCCCTCCGGACGCATTGCGATCGGCCGCATGGGATCGCAAAGCACATTATGCCTGCAGTCCAGTGCGATCAAAATAGTGCTTGCAGCATTTTCAATCGCACCGGACCGCAGGCATAATATGCTTTGCTATCCCATGCGGCCGATCGCATCGAGGCCGGAGGGCGTGGCTACGGTGCCATTCACTTCAATGGCCGCCATGTCCCCACCTGCCCCACAAAAAAGTGAGCCGGCCGCAATGCGAGGTAGTGCGTTCTGCCCAGAATCGGGCCGGAACGCACTGCATCTGGTGTGAACGAGCCCTAAGAGGGACATATCAGTCCTCTGCAGAGAGATCGCTGCTTGCACACAAACAAAGGTCCTTCTCTGCAGTATGTCGGCAGGATATAGGCTGTACTACTAAAAAAAAAAACCCGCAAGCCTGACTTCATGCATCATAAAAAATAAAAAGGTTTCATTTAACACCTAATAACTGAAATAAATGCGGATCTTTTTATATCTGCTTGCAAATTTTTCTGCAAATATTAACAATATAGGAAATTAGGCTAAAAAAAAGAAAAGTGGCAGTGTCAATTTAATTATGTTTTTTAATCCAATAGCAGCCACCAGCATAGAGCACACCGAATGAAATTAGATGCAGCTTGTATAATTGATGACTTTATGCTTGGCTTTAATAAAAGGAAAAAAAAAAAATTACCGAGTTTAATTAGAGAGGAGTGTAACAGGATTTAATCAATAACAGAGCGACTCAGGTGCAGGTTTCCATCCGCGTCTTCATTGTAATTTTATAAAGAACGAACCGCTGATTGCTTCAGCCAGTGACGTGATTCGTTTATACCTGGTAAAAAATTTATGGTAACCGCGTTTTTCTTTGATTTTTTTTTTTTAATACTTTCCCTACTCACCTCGCTGGGTCTTTATAAATCAAGTCCAAGTGACAGAGATTTGAGTTTATTTATTTATTTTTGCCATTCATAAATGATGGTTTATTTAGTAATTTAGGTGAAGGTTAAAAAAGAAAAAAATACAAATGCATCATTTCACGGACGGAAGGATTTTTAGAACCGCATAAAAGTTTATTATTGTTATTTCTTGTTATTTAAAAGTTAATTCCAAAATACTAAAAAAAACTCTGAAGTCAGGAAATGGACACATTAAACACGCCGTCTTTATGTAAACTGTGGGCCATTCTGGTTTATGGACTTTCATTTCTTTGCACGTTGTTAGTCAGGGTCAATTGGCGAGATGAGTGCTTTATATTTGCAGTAAACAAGCTGGCGGAATTGGGTTC